GGTGGGAAGGGGCATGCACCCATGTTCCCCGAGCCACAGGTGCTGCCCAGGATGTTCTGCCCCATGAGGGGGTGGGATGGGGGGATCCGTGGGGACACCCATGTGTGAAACACAACCCCGGTGGGATGGGGGACAGTGCCAGGGAGGGGAGGAGAGGAAGAGGAGGGTGCTGCTGCTGAAGGCTTCACCTTTCCGCCACCTGCCCGTGCCCCGGCAGTGGAGCAAGGACTAACCGAGGTGGGGGAGCTGCACTCGCTAACCGACTGGCAGGTTTCAGAGGCCTCCGAGGACGCCGAGCTGGAGGACTTCTGCTGTGCGGCGAGGCCAAGCCGTGAGCCGGAGGGGGAGAGAAGAGCCGGTTAGCAAGCAGAGGCAGAGCCGTGGCCCCAGCGTGGAGCAGCACCTAGGGCTTCCCCAGGCACCCCAGGCCCCCAGCCCCGCAGTGGCGGATGCGGGAAGGCGAGCAGGATCTGACCCAGCAGCGGGGGCTGCAGAGCCGGGGAGGTGCTAGCTGGGTGAAGCCGGGGATGCTCAGCCCTGATGCTTCCCCCCCCTGCTCACCCCGCAGAGCCAACATTTTGGGGAGTGGGGCTCTCGCCGGGTTGGCGATGCCAGGTTAGCAGGAGTGGGCGGCAGGGCCAGCATGAGGGATCTGGGCTCCTGAGGGGTGCCGGGCAGTCCTGGAGCATCCTCAGCTCTGGGGAGGATGCAGGGTGAAGGGGGAGCTTTGCTCCATGCTGCCTGGTGGGGGACTGGCACAAACTGGGTATTACGGGGCTGGGGTGCCTGGGAAATACCCTGTTCCCCCAGCATGGAGTGGTGGGGGATACCTGTGCACCATCCCTTGGCGGGGGTCACAGATGGGGTTTCTCTGCGGTGTGGCCCGTGGTGCCCCTGAGCAGGGCTAGCATCTGTCAATATTCCCAATATTTATTTCCCATGATGCAAACACAGCTGGAAACACGCCCTGGGGGTGTGTGTGTGTCCCATCTCCTCCACGCCAGACCCTTCTGTTGGACCCAGCAGCACTCATCCATTCTACAGAAGGGGAAACTGAGGCACAGAGGGGTGGGCGGCGCTGACCCCGTACCTGGCTGGTAATGTCTGAGGGCATGGGGGAAGGCGGTTTGGAGTAAGCGGCGTCCTGGGAGATGAAGCCGGAGTCGTGGGAAGAGACGCTGGAGAGGCGGGTGGTGGCGGCAGGGGGCTGCGCCAGGCTGCGGTAGCGATAGGTGGAACTGGGTGAGCAGGTCTGAGCCCCGCTGGGCCACGCCACGCCACCCTTGGCACTGCTAACGCTGCTGGGGGGGTGCCGGGGGGCACGGGGACACGTTGGCGGGGAGGACAAAGGAAGGAAAAGAGAGTTTAAGAGGGAGGTTCGGAGGCGGCAGGCTGCCCGGGCAGCAAAGCCCAGCACCCCGCCGCACACCCCAACCTGGGGAAACTGAGGCACACAGTCCTTAGGGGGTGTCCCTTTCCCTTCTGGTGTCCCCCAGTGGCAGGGG